GTCATCCAGTCTCTGATGAGGAAGTCTGAACTGTAGCGTTTCAACTTGGTGCATTCAAGGCCTTAGGTGTTGATGGATTCCCTAGCTGTTTCTTTTAAAAGCACTGGGATCTTGTTGGGTCGGACATATGCAAGGCAATTGGACATTTCTTTGAAAATGGCTTTCTGTTGAGAGAGATGAACAAAACTAGAATCACTCTTGTCCCCAAAGTTAAAAACTCTGAGGTGATATCACAATTCCAGCTTATATCTTTATGCAATTATTCCTACAAGATTATTGCCAAGTTGCTTGCTAACTGATTGAAGGGTTATCTTGATAATCTTATTTCTCCTTTTTAGTCTGCATTTATTCCTGGTCGAACTATCCAAGATAATATTTTGGTTGCACATGAAGCTTTCCATGGACTTCAACTAAAGAAAGAAGGTAAGTACGACATTGTGGCTTTAAAACTAGATATCTAAAAAGCCTATGATAATGTCAGTTGGCATTGTTTGGAAAATGTTTTGAGGACCCATGGCTTTTGTGATAAATGGATCCACATGATCATGTAATGTGTATCAACAGTCTCTTACATAGTGGGAGTTAATGGGTCTCAAACTGCTTTCTTTAACCCCTAGAGGGGACTTCGACAAGGAGATTCGTTATCTTCATACTTATACTTGTTCATTGTTAATATTTTATCATGTTTATTAATGGTAGCAATAGCTGAAAAGAAGATAATTGGATACAAGATCAAGAGGAGAAGCCCCTCCATTAGCCATCTTTTATTTGCTAATGACTCCCTAGTTTTTTTTGTAAAGCTACAGTAATGGAGGTGAGGCACTTACAAAAGATCCTCCAAATTTATGCAAAAATGTTAGGACAACGAGTTAATTTCTCCAAATCTGCTGCAATCTTCAGACCAAATACACCGATTGAGGTTAGAAAAATCATTTGTATTTAGCTTGGAATTCAAAGAGAAACTGTTGTGTCTAAGTATTTGGGTTTACCCATCTCATGGGGAAAATCCAAGAAAGATAGTTTAAAATTTGTTGTTGATAAGATCCAAAAAAAGCTCAATAACTGGAAAAGGAATTTATTATCTCAAGCGGGTAAAGAAATCTTAATCAAAGTTGCTGCTATGGCTATTCCTACTTTTACTATGTCTTGCTTTTTGTTTCCTATAGAAGTATGCAGCAATACTAACCGAAGTATTAAAGACTTTTGGTGGGGACAGCAAGTTGAGGAAAGGAAAGTTTGTTGGGTAAGTTGGAAGCACGTATCTAAAAGTAAACATGTGGGAGGTATAGGCTTCAAAGATCTTTACTGCTTTAATTTGGCTATGTTGGCTCGACAAGCATGGCAAATATTAAAAAATCCTAATGCTTTATGGGTCCATGTCCTAAAAAGCTTGCATTTTCTAGATTCTGCGTTTCTTGATGCTCGGAAAGGAAGTCATCCTTCGTGGGCATGGTCAAGTATATTGAAAGGAAGAGATATTATTCAATGTGGAGCAGGATGGAACGTTGGAAATGGGGAGGAAATTCTAATTTATCAACACAGCTAGATACCCACCTTCCTTGGATTCAAGGTAAAGTCCCCCCCAGACATGAATTCACTTTACTCTCATGTGTGTGAGCTGCTTGATGATAACGAGAAGTGTGATATTAGTAAAGTAAATGCATGTTTTGCTAGTGATGAAAGCAGGGAAATTCTCAAAATTCCTACTGGAGATTGCCTTGATTCTCTGATATGGCATTGTGACAAATAAAGGTGCTTCTCAGTCAAGGTGCTTACCTTATTGTAGTTAATAATGTCCATGATACTGATAGAAGTAATGATGATGGGAGGCTATCTTCAGGTGAGTGGAAACACTTATGGAAAGTAAAGGTACCTCCTAAGATTTGGGTCTTCCTATGGAGGGCCATACATAACTCCTTACCTTTTATGGATAATTTAGTGAAAAGGGGAATTTCACAAGTGGCGTCATGTCCTCATTGTCACTTGGATGATGAAACTCTAATGCACTTACTTTTCTGTTGCCCTCATGTTGAACCAATCTAGTTTGGTTCAGCCTTGGGACTCAACCCATGGCGATTGGGGACTGTTTCTTTTGTTGGATGGTGGCAGTACATTAATTGCAATGCAAAAAATATGCACCTCCCTTTTCTAGTGGAACATTCTGCAATTATTTGTCGGCATATTTGGAAGGCAAGAAATGAAAAACACTTTGACAATACTGACATCACACCCCATCATGTGCTGGCTAGAATTTCTATATCAATCCGAGAAGGCTCCATTCCAATCAACAAGGATCCTTTGATTTCCCCTTTCAAAACTAAGACCCTTAGAAGACAACACCAAGCAACTTGGACTAAGCCCCCACAAGGAACCCTTAAGATCAATGTGGATGCATCCTTTTCACCAAGTTCAAACATTGTTGCACTAGCTATGATTGGGTGCAATTCAAATAGTGAAATGTGTATAGGAAACAATTGGCACTGTATGGAATTGTCCCCACTTATGGTAGAGGCACTTGCTCTACTTAAAGCTATCCAGTTTGTGACTAGTATGGGATTTAACTCTGTGATCTTTGAAGCTGATAATCAAGTTTTAATCTCCTGTATCTAATAGATTGAGAAACCTCTTCCATGGACGTAAAATCTGTTATCATGAGTATCAGAAAATTAGCTAACAACCATCCTAGCTTTATCTTTTCTTTTGTTCCACGAGAAGGCAATAAGGTAGCAGATTGGGTAGCTAGAGCATCACTCAAAGGTCAATGCCCTTGGTATTGGGCACATAGGCCCCTTAATTTACTACTTTCGTTGCTCCTTTAGGATGGATTGTATACATAATGTAATTATACTTACTATCTCTATAACTTCCAGTTTTAGTTCACAAAAAATATATATATATATCAATAAAAAAGAAATAAAAATAATTAATAAATAATGATAATTATTTCCTATGTTTTCTCCCTCCTCTACTAGCTCTCAATGTGTCTTACTTATCTAGTTGTCTTACCTATGATATTTTTATTATTGTTAGTGATTCTCTAAAATGATAAATTCTTTGATATAATGTTTAAGAAACTCATGACTTCTCCAATAATCAGATATTAGACAGTAAAAATTTTTGAAAAATTTTAAAAAGTTTTATTAACTCATTTATAAGGAATAATTGTTTAAAGTATGAATTTATTATTTTTTATTAATTTTTAATTATGCTTGAGAATTTGCATAGAGAGCATTATTTCTCAAACAAGACACAATTTAAAAAAAAAAAATCTAAAATTTTGTCCATCTTATTAATTAAGATTAGTTGTGTTAATGTAATTTGATTTCTTAGTGGTTGTTATTTCTGCACCATTTGGATTTCTTTGCATTGATTTATTGGCGAATTCTTCAAAGCTTTGCTATCAATGGCTGTGATGGGTGGAAAATGAAGAGACCGTTTGGTATAGCGATGTTTGGGTAGCAGTTAAAAGTTTTACCTAAACCGCTAAATATAGGTGTTTGATAAATTTATATATTTCAAAACCGCTATAAATAAAGGGTTTGGTAAAATTTTTATTTAACGGTTTGAGACTAGCAGATAGCGGTTAGAATTCAAACTGCTAGCGAATTAAAAAAGCTAATTTATGTAACTTTTTGTACCAAATCGCTAACGGATTAAAATTTTTTAATTTTATTGACAAATTTATCCATTTTAATTTTTTAATTTGTGGTCACATTTTTTAATTAATAATTATCTAATAAATTTCAATTTTGTTTTTTTAC